GGGGGGCGAACAGGTGCAGAAGGTATACAGGGTGATTAAGCTCAAGTGAATTTTTTGAGCGTATAGTTTACGACCTAAAAGTCTGCTAAATATCACACATGTAGGTGCACGATTTGCTCAAAATTTCATGCTTCATGCCACCTTTTTGCTTCGTTCTCCCGAACAGATTGAGATGGAGCGCTAATTTTTCCACCAGTGAATAGAGGACTAGTGACGCTCCAGTAGGCCTAGCAGCGTTGGGACTAGAGACGTCACAACCAAAAGGATTGCGTTTTAGAGATTTGAATCTTAGCCGAATTTGTTTATTAAATCTTTAACAAAGTATCAACATATAGATAGTATAAACCTATTCAATCTTTCATATATATATATTACCACAGATTAATGTTCAGTTTATAGGAATTTTTGATACAATGAGGACACCCTGATGCAAAGAACCCCATCCCAACTCAAATCCTTGTTTAAAAATGTGCAGATAGCGACGATGGCCCTGGACCTGCTGCACCAAAGTGGAAAATTCCGGATCCAACACCTCCCTGGTACCCCTTTGAGACTGCGCATTGGCCTCCATACGGGTCCCTGCTGCGCTGGCGTGGTGGGGCTTACGATGCCCCGATATTGCCTGTTTGGGGACACCGTCAATACGGCTTCCCGTATGGAATCCACAGGTAAAACTGATGAGAGGAAGTGGCTTTTTCGCAATTCAATTGGCTTGTTCAGGAGCCGCCTGGAGGATTCACATGTCGGAAGCGACCAAGTCGCGACTGGAAAAGGCCGGAGGCTACCAGATTGAGTATCGCGGCCCTACAGATATTAAAGGGAAGGGAATGATGGATACTTACTGGCTGTTGGGCAGTGAGGGGTTTAGCAAAGAGCTGCCAGTACCGCCGTCTATTGAGTAAGTAGCTCTTTAATTCGAAAATTATTGTGTGTGAGGCCCTGTACTGAATCTACACTGTACAATTGTTATTAGTATTATATTTTCCTTTTCTGGCTGCCGCTAACAGGGAGAGCCACGGGTAGGTCCCAGTCCATTACTAGCGGTTTTTTTTGCAAATTTAGACTCCATTTGCAGATTAGACGAGAGCCTAATCATCAGCACCCTCACTCCGATCCCGACCCTGAAAGAAGATTCTCTGGCTGACTCAGTTTCGTTGGACTCCAGCACGAGGCACATGAGTTTCAGCGAGGGACCCAGCAAAACGCCCAGTCCCAACCCCACTTTCATCAAAACCATGGAATACTCGAAATTTGCCACCCTCACGCGCCTGCACCATGATGATAAGTGAGCAAATCGACAAATTGCACACAAAATCCTCCATTTACAGTGGAATGGTTTCAGGTCAAGTGATCGCATAGTGAAGAGCACTTCGAGTGACGCTCCTCTGATCCTGGGGACGCCAGTTTCCGCTTCAGAAGTGGCTGCTGCTTTACTGGGAGCCTCCACCAGCTCCTTGTGTCCCTATAGAAGAGGACCTCGATCCACCAGCAAAATACAAGTGAGCAAATATCAATTTTCAAAAGTTTTTGCTTGTGAATTGTTGAAGAGCTTTTGTCCAATGGTGCCCCTATTGTGGGTGATATGAATGTTTAGGTTTGAGCAGATTGTGATCCTGGTAACATTAGGAATGAGCTTCTTCCCTTTCTTCCCCTTCATCGAGGTCTTTGATTTTGCGAGTCTTTTGCTTCGGTTTTTGTAAGCTGCCAAGCTTGAATGAAGATGAATTGAAGAATGAAGACCAGCTTTAAAAAATTGATATCTCCAAAGTGGTCGGAGTTGCCTTAATTAGCAAAAACTTCGATTCATAAGTCGTAAAAGTTTCATTTTCTATCGTAAGCAAGGAATTTTTGACGGATTTTCATTCAAGGTTTTTTTGGAGTCATTTTATTGCGAAACCCAGCTTTAAAAAATTGATATATCCGAAGGGAGGGGAAATATAAATGTGATCCGTCTGGCCTTCATTAGCAAAAACTTCGATTTCTCAGTCGTAAAAGTTTCATTTTTCTATCGTAAGCAGGGAATTTTTGAAGAATTTCCAACAATTAAAAAATTTTATTTTAAAAAATTAAATTTTAGCACTGGGCGGAAACACAAATGTGTCAGTTTTTGCATTAAATAGAAAAATCTTTGCTTCGTAAGTGTCAAAAGTTTCATTTTTCTGTCGTAAGCAGGGAATTTTTGATCAATTTTCGAATGAAGTTCTTTATGGGGCCATTTTTTTAAAGACCGGGTTTTAGCTAAATAATTTCTCGGAACTGAGAGGAAACACAAATGTGGCAGTTCTTGCAATGAATAAGATCAAATTTGGTTCATACGTGATAAAAGTTGCATTTTTCTGCCATAAGCAGGGAATTTTTGGCTAATTTTCAAAGTATTTTTGGAGTAATTTTTTTGCGAAGACCAGCTTTAA